AAAACTGTATTATGCAGATGACACAACCTTGCTTGCTGAGACTTAAAAGGACTTGAAACACTTGCTGCAGAGGGTCAAGGACTGTGGTCTTCAATATGGATTGAAGTTCATCATGAAGAAGACAAAGATTCTCACCACTGATCAACTGGCAGCACCATGACAGATGGAAAGGAAATTAAGATTGTTAACAATTTCAGCTTGCTTGGCTCCACAGTCAACATTCTCGGCACCAGCAGTCAGGGAATCAAAAGACGAATTTCACTGTGAAAATCTGCATTCAGGGACTTCTCCAAAGTACTCGTCAAAGAGACAAATTTCTCCTTGGAGGCATGGATTTTGAAGCTCTGTCACATATTTGAGCATGTGGCCAGGGAGGACTGGTCCTTAGAGAAGGACATCATGCTTGGAAGGGTGGTGGGACAGAGCAGGAGAGGAGAATCCAAATGAGATAGATTTACACACTAACTGGGGCAGTGGGGGTTGGTGTGTAGGAATTAGTGAGACTGGCTCAGGACAGGGCAGGCTTCAGAGCTGTCGTACATAGGGTCACAATAAGTCACAACTGACTCGACATCACGTAACAAAAATAACAACTACCACTGAATTCATGCTCTTGGTTGTGATAATGGTAGTTATTCAGGAGGATGTCCTGATATGGGGGAAATATAAGATTAAGTGTTTAATAATAGGTTGCCTACCTTAAGAAGTCTGCAACTCATTTGCAAATAATAAGAAACTTATCAAAAAACATATATATATTTTTTTCTTGTTATGATTTCCGGACATTTGAAGGAAAGTTAGTCTTTTTAATTCTTCATCAAAGTAATTTCTTTCATTACTGCTAAATGTGTTTATTGGCATAGAAATAAATGTCTTTAAAATGTTTGTAGATTCTGAGTAAAAAAAATATCAAAAGTTTAAATGTGAAAAAAACTCAACACACACACACACACACACACACACACACACACACACCTCTTATTAATTTTGCTTGTGCTGTCCCCAAAATGCCTGCCAGTTATTTGAAGGATTTTGTTAGAGAGCTCTGGTAGCTTAGTGGTAAGAAGCTGTGCTGCAATCACAAAGACATGAAGTTCAAATGCACCACCTGGGAGAAGAATGGCTAATCTCCTCCCATGTGATTTATTGCCTCTTAAAACCCTTTGGTGGTGCTAAGCATTTTATAAATTCTAGATAAAAGTCCTTTCTCTGACATGTCATTAAAAAATACTTTTTCCCAGTTTGTGGCTTCCCTTTTTACCCTGTTGGAGAAGTTTTGGATGTACATAGGGATTTGATTCTTAGAATGTCTCATTCATCTATTTTATCTTCTTCTGATTGTAGATTTATCAGAATACTCGGAAGACTGTTTATGTTGTGGATTAGGACTACTAGAGTTCTTCCAAGCTTTTCTTTAATGAAGTTTATAGTCCTTGGTAGATATATGCACACCCATGCTTATCATGGCTTTGTTCACAATAGAAAGGAGTTGGAAGCAGCCTAAGTGCCCATCAATGAATGAATGGATAGAGAAGCTGTGGTATATTCACACAATGGAATACTACACTGCATTGAAAAACAAGGAACTCATTCAATATTATTCAAAATGGGTGACCCTGGAGGACATTATGCTGAGTGAAATATCTCAATCACAGAAGGACAAATACTGCATAATGCTATTGCTGTAGAATGGGACTGACATCAAAGTTGGAGTAAGAATGAAAAAAACTGGATGAATTATATATACTGCATTGAAACAGAAGAGGGAATTGTTGTTATGTGCCCTCAAGTTGCTTGCGACTCATAGCGATCCTATGTACAACAGCCCTAAACTGTGCTCTGTCCTGTAACTATCACACTGTCTCTGACATTCCCATACTGATTACCCCAGTAACTGAATCAATCCACCTCATAGAGGGCCTTCCTCTCCTGCGCTGTCCCTCCACCCTCCCAAGCATGATGTCCTTCTCCAAGGACCGGACCTTACAACATGTCCAAAGTGTGTTAGATGGAGCCTCAGAATCCTTGCCCCCAAGGAGCCACACAGTTTGACCCTTTCCAGGATGAATCTGTTTTGTTTTCCTAGCAGTCCATGGTATTCTCAATACTATTCTCCAGCACGACAGCTCAAAGGCATCAATTATCCTTTATCCTCCTTAGTCATTGTCCAACACTCTAATAAATAACAAGTGATAGCCAAGCCCATGGCCTGTCTCAGACTCACCTTGGTCTCCAGAGAGACACCATTGCTCTTCAGTACTTTGGAGAGGTCCCTTACAGCAGACTTTCCCGTGGCAATACGTCTTTTAATTTCCTGGCTACTGGTAGCAAGAGTATTGACTGTGGAGCCAAGCAAACTAAAGCTGTGAACAATCTCAATCTCTTCACCATCCATCCTGATGCTGCCAATGGTCCAGTGGTGAGAACCTTTGTCTTCTTGACATGGAGCCTCAATAGGCAGAATATTAAAAGATCCAGGAGGTATTAAAAGAAGATGGAACGAATATACTGAGTCACTGTATCGAAAGGAATTGGAAGACACAGAAGAATTTCATGAAACAACATATGAGCAAGAGTCTATGGTGATGAAGGAAAAAGTTCAGACTACTTTGAAGGAAATAGCAAAAAATTAGGTCCCAGGAATAGATGGTATATCAATTGATATATTTCAGCTAACAGATGCTGCCGTGGATGTGCTCACCAAGTTGTGTCAAGGAATCTGGAGAACAACCACTTGGCCGACTTACTGGAAGAGATCTATATTTGTTCCCATTCCAAAGAAGGGTGACCCAACAGAGTGTGGAAACTACAGAACAATATCATTGATTTCACATGCAAGCAATATTCTACTGAAGATTATCCAAAAACAACTGGAACAGCACATCAGCAGAGAACTGCCAGAAGTCCAGGCTAGCTTTAGAAGGGGTCATGGTACTAGGTATATTGTAGCTGATGTTAGATGTATCTTAGCTGAAATCAGAGAATACCAGAGGAATTTCTATTTGTGTTTCATTGACTATGCAAAAGCGTTTGACTGCATGGATCATAACAAACTGTGGCTGACTCTGAGAAGAATGGGAATCCCAGAACACTCGATCGTGCTAATGCAAAACCTATACATGGACCAAGAGGCAGTCATCAGAACAGAGCAAGGAAATACTGCATGGTTCAAAATTGGGAAGGACATACGCCAGGGATGCATCCTATCTCCATACCTTTTCAACCTTTATGCAGAACAGATTATCTGGGAGGTTGGGCTTTATGAGGAGAAATGTGGGGTCAAGACTGGCAGAAGATCTATCAACAATCTGCATTATGAAAATAACACAACCCTGCTTGTGGAAATGAGGAGGACCTGAAGCGCTTACTGCAGAGGGTAAAGGACTGCAGCCTCCAAAATGGATGAAGGAGAGAACAGTTTATAAGTAATAATGAAAAAATAAAAAATAAAAAAAAGTAATATATTTTAGGGCATTATGATTATCATAAGAGTCTGGAATGAAGGTTGCAGAGTGGAGTATACTCGGGGTGGGGGTCGGGGGTGCAGGGGATTGTATACCAATGAAGGAATTTTACTTTTACTTTTCAAAGAGAGAAAAGTGAACCGGGAGGTGGGAGGGATGCAGAGAAAAGTGCAACAATGAATGAATGGAAATCCAAAATCTCTCTATATGTTCATTCAAATTAATAATAATAATACCCTCTGGTGGGTCAGCTATGGATTTGTTCCAACACTAGGGCACACAACAACAGCAGCAGAAAATGTTACATACCTTTGAGTCAGAACCAGCTCATTGCAGACTCTTCAGTGGGATTCTAGAAGCTGGAATTTCCTGAAGTAAAAGAGATTACCAATCTTTTTCCCAAGAAGCAAACCACCAGCAGTAGAACTTCTTACCCACAAGGTTACCATAGATAGATAGATAGATAGATAGATAGATAGATAGATAGATAGATAGATAGATAGATAGATATACCATAAATGTGACCAAATGTTTAAAATTATGCAGGTTCAAAAAAATTATGCAGGTTCTTCAAATCTTCATTGTACTATCCCTTCAATTTTATTTTTTTAGGTTTCAAATTTTTCAATTAAAAAAAGTTGGAGAAAATAGTTTCTCTTGATAAAAAATGTTGTTTGCATATATTTAAAAAGAGTAAGGGGAAAATAAAAATAAAAAGAGGGAGGGTGAAAAGGGCAAAATTTATAAATATTAATGGGTAACATCAACCAAAGGAGCAGATCTTATTATACATATGTAATATCAATGAGCATCAATTAAATTGCTTAGAAAAATATCCAGCATACTTCATAATACATATGTATGTCTTTGAACACATGCCTGAGTCTCACACTTTCTGCTCTGAAGAAATAAGTTTGAGGTCTACATGCTCAAGTATCCATAGTTAAATGCCTGCCTGTCCTCAGGGTATTTTTGATAGTCATTTGCTCTAACTTAACCTTGTGCCTGCCCCTCTGCTGGATAAGCTGCACCAGCTCAGACTCCAAGATCCACTTGGAATGTTTGAGTCCCAAACAGTAAAAAAGGGCAGGTAATAATTTAGACCTAGAAATAATAAAGAATTAAAAGTTCACTTATTCTCTGTTTCTTGGAATCCTACAGTTACTAACTGGTTTGACCAAGATGAAAATTAACCATAAAAGAAATACTTTGCAGAAAATGTCGAATTGTGTGCTAATTATGGTTTGTACATTTCTTTTCAAAGTCCAGTATCTTCCACGCATATTTAATTTTACCTCTGTTCTCTTACCTTGCAGACTCATAATGAGGTACAAATTTCTGCCAATGTGATATAATTCCTTTTAACTGTTTACATTAACTTGCCAACAAAATTTTAATCCAAACCAATTAAATTAATGATGAAATCTCAGGAATTAGCAGTTAAATGGGTCAAATACTTGCAAAGGACAATGAGAAAGATCTTCTAATTACTACTAGGTCATGCCATTACTAATATTCACTTTTTTTTCTTTTCAGAGAACTCACAGATGTAATTGATCTTTCTAGGTTTAAAAAGCTAAAATATTTATGGCTTCATCATAACAAGGTAATCTTTAAATGATTATTTAATTAAATGACTATTCTTAAGTTCTTGTTTATAGTAGTCCTAGTCTTTAAAAAGTACAAATATTTTCCTAATTTGAATTTAAGTTAAAGATAAATATGCCATCTAAAACCACTCTACAGCATAACTATATTTTTCTTGAACTATATAGCCAGACTGCTAATTTTACTTTTATCTCAAATGTCCTCTTGAATTTTCTCAGTGGAGACTGTTTCTTCCCAAGCTCCTGGAAGAAAACTTGGACAATCTCATTCTTTTTCTTATCTCACTTAGGTAATACCAAATCTTATGCCACATTTAAGCCATAATCATGTTCCAGTTTTAAAATGATAATGTCCCCAAAATAGCTTGATATGAAGGTGTAATGAACACAGTTTGACCAAAATAAGCAATGTCACTAAGGAGCTCATAAGAATAACGGATGTTTTCACTAAAAAAAAAGAAAGGAAAAAAATTTCTTTTGCTATTTTGCAACACTACTACAAATAACTACAAATAAGTCAAATTTGTGTGTGCATGGGCATATTTGTAAACAAATATATGCATTTCAGTGCATGATTAAAAGTATTTAGACAAAGACTTAAGTACAAATATACGTTCAAGCATATATACTCAGTGGGCACAGATAAAAATAGTTCTCAAACATAATCAAACAATTGTGAGATTAGTTATCTGGTTTTGAAAGTTTACTATATTAGTCTTATGAGACAGCTCACTCACTTGGCATAATATAGTTCACAAAGTCCATGTTCTGCATCCTAGGGAGGTGAGTAGTGTCTGGGATCTTAAAACCTTGTAAACATCCATTTAAGCTACAACTATCACTTTCTACTAGTCGGAAGCAAAACAAAATCATGAAACTAAGAAAAGAAATTAGCCTCTGAGAATATTGACCAGGGATATTTTTAAACTAGGTATTGTGTCAAATATCCTTTTGAAACCTCTCAATGCGGACTGCGAGAGCAGCAAAGAAAACATGGGGAAAGCTGAGTCTAACCTTTTTTTTTTTTCAGCTTAAATTTCAACTTTATTTGTCCCAACAGAGCAATGATATAAATAAAACCTCTTAAATAATTGAAGTCTTGATTTGTAATAGCTATTAGAGGTCCACATAGTCAATTGATGCCTTTCTTTTTTTTTTTTAACTTTTTTTTTTATTGTGTCTTATACATTCCAAATCTATCCTGTATTCTTTTTTTTTTTTTTTTTATTTTGTTTATTTTTCTTTTCAATGAACATCTACAGAGAGTCTAACCTCTTTTAACTCCACAAAGGGGAATTGTCCACATCAACAATATCCACAGTATAAAAATGATTCTTATAAGGTCAAATATCTTCTGCCAACACACACTCCTACACCACTCCTACTAATCACTAGGTCCAAGATGCACTGCAAGTGACTCACAGAATTTACTCACAATTGTAGGGTGTATTGACAAAATAGGTTGAAGGGTGGGAGAATCAAAAGATATCACACAGTGAAATTCGTTCAGTCCAGAAACACAAATTCCAGAAAAACTTCTGCTTCCTTCAGTAATCCAGCAAATTTTATCTCAGAGTAGTTACAAGTAAGATCTTCCTTCAATGTCCAGCAAGCAAAACCTTTAACTATGGCTCTGTCTCCAGGTCTCCATCAGGCTACTCCTACCACACTCTCTCCAATCTGAATAGCTCTCTGTTCTGCACTTCTCACTATTGTTAATGGTGTTGAAGTCACTGATCAACATCAAACCAGGTGTCTGAAGTTGAGTCAGCTGGAGACCATGGCCCTAGGGAAGTTAAGGGTGACTGATAGAGCTTCAAGGATTCATTTCACTTACATGTTCCCACCTGAACACTATTAGATCTAAGGGAGTGGGTAGAAAAGAAAAACATCTTAACACTACAGAAACTATTTCTAAGTTCCTGAAAGAAAAGTTGGGTAATCGTACGCATTTCTATCTCCTTTAAAAAACTCAAAACAAACAAAAAGCTAACACACCTCAAACTCATTGCAGTCAAGTCGGAACCAATCCCCAGCTCACCTTCCATCAGGCTTTCAGGAGGCTATAAATCACAGGAGGAAATTGGCTACCTTTTTCTTTTTGAGACAGAGTTGAATTTGGACTGCCAGAGATGCTCCATCTTTTGGGTCAGCAACACTTCTCACTACAGACTACACTACTAGATCTCACTTTCTAGCCCCTTAGGTTTTAGAGGGGACGAAAATCCTATAGATTGGTAGTTAAAATGAAGGTTATTAATTACCTACAGGTATGATATTTAATTAAAAAAAGAGGTGTGCCTATGTGTTGACAGCTCAGTGTCTTACCACAAAGCCACCAGAGATCCCTTTTTTCAAATGGGAAAGCATAATTTGTTGTATAAACTTCTACCAGAGGCACACTAAAATGTTTTTTAAAACAAAAAGGTGGTGGAGGTGGGGAACGAGAACACCTGGTTAATATTCATTGATTTTGTCTTCATTCATAAATGTGACATATCCACAATACCCATACCTTAACTAGCTAGGATACTGGTTAGCTACAAATGGCTTCATCTATAGACGAAAGGTGTGGTTGACTATTTTCCATCACTTTCTCCTCTGTTCTAGCCCTCTCAAAGATTGGTATGAAGTTAGAGAAGTGTTGGGAATGGAGGAAAAGACATGTAGGAAACAAGAGTTCTTCCTTGATTTTTCAACTTCAGGCACTAACAAATGTTTCAAACCATTTCATGTGTCATCCAGAGGGTCTCACTCTTTTTTTTTTTTTTCATTTTGTACTAGTGTCTTTACAAAATTAGAAAACATTGTTTTCCAAAACAAATACTTTCCATTTCCTTCATCCCCCAACTCAACAAATTGTATAACCTCATGATTAATTCCCCCCTCTCCTTGCACATTCTCATCTTTCTGCTTCCAACCTTCCCCACCCCCTTGGATCCTTACACTCATTCTACAATAATGGTTTCATATAAAATTTATTTTTGTTGGATTGAGTAAGTTCACTCAGCATAATTCTCTCCAGTCCCTCCCAAGTTAGGTAATAATTTATAAAGTTACTGCTCCTGTGTGCTGTGTAGGATTCCATTGTGTGATTGTACATTATTTTTCAATTCATTCATTTGTGGTTGGACATTTTGGCTGTTTCCATGTTCTTGTGATGGTGAATAACTGTACTGTTATGCACAGTGGAGTATAGATCTCTGTTTGTGCCTCAGTTCTCATTTTCTCAGGGTATATTCCAAATAGTGGAATAGCTGGGTCATATGACATTTCTATGTTCAACTTTTTGAGGAAGCACCAAACTCTCTTCCAGAGTGGTTTTACCGTTTTACAGTTACACTAACAATATATGAGTTCCTTTCTCACAACATTCTCTCCAACATTTATTACTTACTGCCCTGTTAAACTTTGCCACAGTTACTAGAGTGAGATGGTACCTCATTGTGGTTTTGATTTGCATCTCTCTTATTGCCAGTGATTTGGAGCATTTCCTCATGTGTTTGCCATTCGAACATAGTCCTCTATGAAAATTCTTTCCCTGCCTTTTGCCCATTTTGTAATTGGGTTATCCATCTTTTTCTTGGAGGCCCAAGAGTATTCTGTAAACTTGGTTGTGACTCTTGTCTGAGATGGTATTACGACATGCTTGTTCCCAGTCTGTAGGTTTTCTTTTCTCCCTGTTGGAAAAAGTTTTGATGCACACATGGATTTAATCTTAGAAGGTTCCGTGCATCAATTTTATCCTCTTCAGATTGTGCATTTTTGGTTGTATTTAGCCATCTCTTTATACTTTGGACTAGAGCTTTATACCTTTGGACTAGACCAGTTTGTCTCTTATGAATGTTATAGTTTTGGGCTTTGCTTTCAGGTTTGTGATCCACCTCGAGTTCATTTTTGTGTATGATGTGAGATGTGGATCCTGTTTCAGCTTTCTTTAGGTGGAAGTCAGTTTTGTCAGCATAGTTTGTTGAAGAGGTTATCATTTCCCCATTTGATAGCTTTTATTGCCTTATCGAATATCAGTTGATCATAGATAGCTGGGTCTATTTCTGAGTTTTCAATTCTATTCCGTTGGTCTATCTGCCTGTCATTGTACCAATACCATGCTGTTTTAGTTACTACTGCTGTGTAGTAGGTTTTGAGGTCAGGGAGTGCTATGCCTCCAACCTCAGTTTTACTTCTCAGCAGAGGGTCTAACTCTTAAGTCCTGCTTTGCTGGCCACTATTAACTTCACTTCATCTTCTTTCATAGTGGAACTTGTGACTGAGAGTCTCCTAGCCTTTTCTAGATGAGCAAGATAAGTCCTACATTTCTACAGGCTCTACATTCCTACAGAGATACACATCCACTTCCAAGGACTCACTCACATACTTTTGACCTTCTGTTTGGAGCCAAGGCAGTTGGATACCTCGAAGTTGCTACCTAAATCAATTCACTTTCTTGGGTGGTATTTGACACCATATTACTATATTCCCTACTGCAAGGATCATTCCTCAAACTCTTCAAGTATATGGTCCTTGAAGTTTCTTCTAAGAAGCTAAATTTAGAAGGTAGTACCCTCCCTTCATTCTCCCTTACCTTTATAATAATCTTTTGCTTTCCTCATGGATAATATCCTTGATGTCAGTCCTATTACTCATCACAGTAAAGCAAAAACCCTCATCACTGGACCAACAAACAGCATCATAATAGATGGAGAAAAGATTAAAGCTGTCAACGATTTTTTCTTTCTTAGATCCACAACCCTTGGATCCCTTGGAAACAGCAGACAAGTAATTGAAAGATGTGTTGCAATGGGATAATGTGCTGTCAATGTTCACTCCAGAGTACTAGGGACAACAGTGTCAGTTTAAAGACTAAGGTGCACCTGATTCAAGCCATGGTCTTTTCGATTACTTCCTATGCATGCGCAAGTGGGACAAGGCATAGATGACAGAATTGTTGCATTTGATTTGTGGTATTGGAGAAAAATACAAACTATTCAATGGACTGCTG